CATGTGATCATCTGTTCATGTCTGCCTCTCTCCACACTGTGAGCTCCATGGAGGCAGGGACCACACCACTCTCACTCTCTGTCCCCAGCATCAGGCACGGTGTTTGGCACACAGTGGAGTTGGTTCCCTAAGTGTTTGCTGCCTCCTGCAGGAGTCCAGCCGTCCACACACCCTCCCTCTCCCTTAAACCCACACACCACATTCTGCCCAAGTTGGGAGATGAGGGACTTAGGACCCTGCGGGAGAAAATTCAAGCTGCACAGTTTGAGTCTTGGGTGTAGCCAGTGTTAGCGGGTGGCCAAAATGGGTCATTCGAACTCCATTTATTTGTATGTCACCGGGGCCAGCCACAGTTGGTACCCAGAGTCCACAGGACTCCACTCCAGGCCTCGGCAGTGGAGCATCCTGATAACCTGGGATAATGAAGCCTCTCTTGTCAGTGGAGACCAGACTTAGAAGTGCAGTCAGCATCCCATGAACAGAAAGGCACTCGGTGGTTGTTTCTTGAGTTTAGGTATTAGGGACTGAGATAAGGCCCTGGTGCATGGTTGGAGCCGTCGTCGGACTGGTTCAGCAAGCCCTGTGAACAGAGTGGAAGCCACACTGTAAGAGATGGAAGTGTGTGGTTGGCGATGTGGCGGGAGAGGCTGTTCTATGAGAAATGTGTTGGTTGAAGCAGGTGGTGGAAGAAGTGAAGCCTTGAGCAGACTTGCCGGAGGAGTGGAAAGAGCCGAAGATGGAGAGGTGGCAGATTCAAGGTCCAGAGAGCACAAGGGGTGGGAGCACATCCGGTGAGGATGGGAGGAGGAGGGATAGGGAGAACAGATGGCAGATCCGCCTTGGCAAGGAGGTCAGAGAAGAGGGAGGGTCGAGGGGCAGGTTGGAAGGTCTGAGGATGGTGACATTTGGAAGCGGGAAAGAGCAAGTCAAGGAAACACATCTTTTCAGCCAAGTGGGAGACAGGTCATCTGTTGGGATGGATGGGGCTACGGGCTGGGGAGTGGGAAAACATTGGTCCAGGCACTTTGAGGAATGTAACTGCATGAGCAAGAGATGGCCAGTGGACAGCTTTGATGGTAGATCTTGTTGGTGTGGTTGGTACAACTATGGTCCCAGATTGGGGACTCACAAGGTGACATGTCAGGGGGAACATGCAAGACAGTTGGCTTGGGCAGATTTGGGGAGTTCTGGGAGGTCTTTCTCTGTAGCAGCTAAGGCTACTTTTGTTTGGCACCTACTGTGTGCCAGGCGCTGTAAATGTTCTATCATTAACCCTCTCAGCAGCTCCATGAGGTAGATGCTACCCAACTTGCCCAAGGTCAGCTTGCCTGTGACTCTGCCTAGACTGTTGATTGCAAAGCCAGGCTCACCTGTGTGGTGACTCACGCCTATTCTGGGGCCCAAACAGGGTACTGGATGTGGGATACTTAGAGGCCATAGAATGCCACCCAGATGTGAAGCCCACCTCTCCACACCCCCTCCTCAGCCCCTATGGGGTCTGAGTTGTTATAATGTTTTGGACGGAAAGCTCATCGCGATCACCAGGCTGTGGAGCACGGAGCCCTTTCCCGGGAGAAATGTGTCAGACCCTGGCGGGTGGGGGCGAGTCGGGGTGGGGCTCCAGAGCAGGGCTCAGTGGGAGGTAGAAATCCCGGACAGGGGTCTGGAGTTTGTCCGGACATAGGACTGTGCTTGTGTGCATGCGTGAGTGGAGGAGCAGCGACTCTGTGCTGTGAGTGTTTCTGAGGGAGCATGTGTGTGTTTCGGAATCTTTCTCTGTGCCTCTGTACCGCTCTACACAGAGAAATAGAAATATTGAGGTGTAGGGGGTGCAGAAACAAATTAGTGAGAGAACAAATGGAGGAATGAAGGGAACACGGACACAGGGACACACATGTTCCCCCACATGTTCAGAAACACTCGGGGTGACACACAGAAATGCATTGGCAGTTTCCCTGTGTGCTTTCTTGAGTGGGATGGCCTATACCTCGTATGTGGGTATGCGCCTGTGTGTGTGACTGGCCTCAGAAACAGCGTGATAGGTCTGTGGAGCCCATGGAAACACAAACATGGACACTCAGACACAACGTGTCTTTGCACGTATATTCCTGTGTATGCGTGTGTGTTCCTGTGTGTTTTTCTGAGTATATGTGCACTATATCTGAATAACACAGACACATGTGGGAGACAAACATGTGGGCACATGCTCCGAGAACACGCGCAGAGCACCTGTATCTGTGTCTGTGTTAGAGTCAGGAGGAAGGGGCACCGTTATTGAGCTGGGAGGCGGGAGGCTGGGAGAAGGCCAGTGGCAGACATCCTGGTCCCGCTCTGTCTCTGGGTACACAGACCCAGCGCTCCCGTCCTCTCCACGCAGGATGGTGGGGTTTCGGGGGGTGCTGCTTTCCCCAGGGGGTCAGCAAGCACTGGGGAAGCCCCTGAGGTATGCCAGCTCATCCCAGACTGGGCGGGGGGGGGGGCGATCTCACGAAAGATCCACCCCACCTCTAGCAAAGCCACAGTCCCCCGGGTGGTGGCCGATGGAAAGCTCTCCACAATCACCAGGCTGTGAGCACGGAGCGAAGAGACCCTCCCCGGGTCGAACCCTGGCTCCCCCCCTTTCTGGCTCTACAGATGTGAGCATGTCGCTTAACCCCTGAGCCTCGTGTCCTCGGTGTTGAAGCAGGGAGAGCAGGATCATCCCCTCATCGGGGGTTGAGACCACGCTCAGGCAGACCCTCCTTCTCCAGCAGGTTTTAATTGAACACCTACAGTGGCTGGGCCTGTTCTCGACCCAGGGGCTTCAGCAGTGGACAAAACAACGTTCCGTGTCCTTGGAGTTTACCGTCTTTGTGGAGAAAGCTGGCCAATAAATCAAGAATGCGCCCTGTGTTTGGAAGAAAGCCACCGCATGGCCATAGCGCAGAGAAAGCCAGGGGGTGGTCAAGGAAGGTCTCGGAGAGGGTGATGTGCCATCACAGAGTGGAGGCCATGGATTGAGCTCCTGCCCAAGGGGAGGGAATAGCAAGGGCAGAGGACTGTTTGCCTTCATTAAAACCTTGTTGTTCTCCCATTTTACAGTTGGGGAAATGAGGCACAGAGAGGCTGAGTAATTTGCCCAAAGCCTCACAGCCCATGAGAAAAAGATCCAGGATTTGAACCTGGGTAATCTGGTTTCAGAGCCAGTGGCCTCAATCAGTGGTCCTCTATGGAGGGTGACTGTTGCCCCTAGGGGATGTTTTGCAATGTCTGGAGATGTTTTTGATTGCCCCCTGGATTGGAGGGTGCTACTAGCATTTACTGGGTAGAGGCCAGGGTTACCGTTAGACTTTCACAGTTCACAGGACATCCCTGACAACAAAGCAGTATCCCATCCAAACTGCCCGTTGTTCTGGGGTTGACAAGAGTATGGCCTATAGTAGGTGCTCAATAAATAGTAGCTCCAGAAGAGGAGGAGAAAGGATTTGGAGAAGGTTGCAGGGGAGACATGACTTCCAATTCAAAGGGAAGAGGCAGTCCATGTAAATGAATCCATCAGGTGAGAGGACACATGTGATACTGATTATGGGGTGGGTATGAATGACAGACTGCCCCCTGCAGGCTGGATGCAGGTGAGGCCAGTGGTAGGAGGAGGTTGATGGGTTGGGGGTGGGACCAAAGCTGGCCGCCACCAGCCCCTGAAATGCTAACCAGATGTCTGGCCTCTCTGTCCTCTCCCACCCTGTGTCTCTCTCCTCATTTCCCTCTGCCTCTCTGCCAAGAAGGGGACAGCCGGAGGCTGAAGGGGGCCATTCAGAGGAGCACGGAGACGGGCCTGGCGGTGGAGATGCCCAGCCGGACGCTGCGCCAGACCAGCCATGAGTCCATCGAGGACAGCATGAACAGCTACGGCTCGGAGGGCAAGTGAGTGTGAGCCCGGCGTGCCCCCAGGCCTCTCGGTCTTCCCTGGCATGGGGCGGGAGGGTCTCAGACTTTGAGGGGCATTGGCTGAGGGTTCCCACACTGTCCTGTCTTCAGAAGGGAGGCGATGAAGCAAGGAAGCTCTGAGGAAGACCAAGGACAGCCAGACTCTGGTGCCTGACTACCTAGATATGAATCCTGGCTCCACCACTCGCTGGCTGTGACCTTGGTCAGGTCATCTCTCTGTGCCTCAGTTTCCTCATCTGTAAAATGAGGATAAATACCAACATTAAAGGGGTGTTAGGAAGACTAAATGGGTTCGTTTTTATAAAAAGAATAGGACAGTGTTCCACCTTGGCTCCCCGAAATTTTGGGCCCTGCCTGGCGGCTGGGGGTTTCTGCTGGCTGAAAGCCTTCCCACCTCCAGCCCCTCCTAAACTGGGCATCTCTGGCCTCTGTGAATGGCCTCGCCTTGGCAGATGCTGCCGTTCCACCCACCCCCTAGAGAGACTTTCCGGAGGGCGGGAAGAGGAGGAGGACCGGCGGAAGGGAGAGGAGGAGGAGGAGAAGGGAACAAATGTTTTCTTTAACCTGAAAAACTTGGCAAGGCAGCAAAACTTGGAGGAAGATATTCTGGGCGTCTGGGTAGTAGTGGGTCCCTGCTGAGTTTCAGGGGGTCAGGAGGTTTGAGTCCTAGTCCTGGCTCTGCCACTTACCCAAGTGGCCATGGGCATGTTCCTTGGCCTGTCGAAACAGCAGGAGGCCAGCAAACATTTCGTCTGTTGGTTTGAGGACCAGGTCACGGGAGGGTAGTGTGGTGCCGTGAGCAGTGACAGGAAGTCAAACCCATATTCCCATTTCATAGAACAGGAGATGAAGGCCACTCGACTTTCTCCAAGGGGAGCAGCGTGGGAGGGTAATAAAGTTGTTGTGAGGACTCAGTGAGTTAATACATGTGAAAGCACGTAGAATAGTGACTGACACATACAAGTGCTGTTATTATTCGCAGTCGTGGTTGTTGTTTGTTGTTGACTTAGCTGCTGTTATTTGGATATTTTGCTCCTCAAGGGCAGATGCATCTTAATGGATACATTGAGCCACCCTAAACAAAATCGTGTCTATAAAGTGCTTAGCACAGGATAAATGTTGGCTTTATAATTATTAAAAGATTTTAGATGTGGCCAGCATGGCTCAGTAGTTGAGCGTCGACCTATGAACCAGGGGGTCATGTTTTGATTCCTGGTCAGGGCACATGCCTGGGTTTCGGGCTTGAATCTCCAGTGTAGGGCGTGTAGGAGGCAGCCAATCAATGATTCTCATCATTAATATTTCTGTTTCTCTCTCCCTCTCCCTCTCCCTTCCTCTCTGAAATCAATAAAAAAAAAGTATATATATTTTAAAAAGGGGGTTTTGGGTGCATGTCTTGAGCCCAGTTGAGGGAGGATTGGGTGGGTTGGAGGATATGGGGTCCAGTAGAAGGCAGAGTCTTGCCCGCCTGAGAGGGACTGAGCTCAGCCAGGTGCTGCCACCCTGCTCAACACCTGGGCAAGGAAAGGAAGGTGAAGGGACAGGTGGGGACCTTGAGCTGTGGTTGGCCTCCTCCTTTTTCTGGAAGTATTTTGGGCACTGGCCGGACCCAGATTCCAGACTCTGAAACAGGAGGGGGTGTGACCATCCTCCTCCTGGGCTCCTGCCAGCCCAGCCCAGGCTTATAGGAAGCCAGTGTGCTTGAGCAGCCCCCCAGCCTGTGGCCCTGGGAGCTTCTGGGTCTGTCTGCCCCAGCCACTGGATCACCAGGCTTGTGTTCCTGCAGGTGGGCACAGGGGTGCTCCCATGTGGATTTTTATTTCAGCAAATGGGATCAGCCACTTACAGTGTACAAGACAATTGGGCTGTGCACCTTGGGGACCCTGCCTTCTTCTGACGAAGCAACTAGCAGTGGTGAGAACCGCAAAGGACAGGCATAGAGAACTGGGGAAATGTTGCATCCTACCCAGGTCTTGGGGCTGGGGAAGGGGTGCATGTGGGTTGGGCCACTTGTTAGTGAAGATCGTTGGGCTCCAGATTATACTATACCAGGTAACAGTGGCTTTGTCCCTCGCTGTTCCGGATATAGTCCCATAGCATTGGCATCCCCTGGAAGCTGGGTGGAAATGTAGCATGTCAGGCTCCATCCCAGACCCTCTGAATCAGTCTGCATTTAACAGGGTCCCCAGGTGGTTCATGTGCACATTAACCCTTTGAGTGCCAACCAATATCCTAGGAACTATGCTAAAATTGCCAAGGCATTTTTGCCGATTTTACAGCAGTTTAGGAAAAAAATTATGAAAATTAGGCAGATAAATGTCAGTGGTCGATTTTAGAACTACAAACATTCGGCATCATAAGTAATCTGCACTTAGGTGCCATCTGTCAATAAAGAGTGAACTACTAGCTTCTAATAGTGACACTGCAGGAGGAGCGTGATAGCGCTCCCGGCACTTTTGGGGAAAGACATATGTGGAGTGCGATCGCTCCCCGGCACTCGAGGTTAAGGTTGAGCAGCACTGGCTCAACAGTGATGCTCTAGAGCTAACACTTACTGAGCACTGGCTGTGTGCAGACTCTGTGCTAAGTGCTTGTACACAATGACTCCTCTCATTCTCAGAGCAACCTGATGACACTGGAACTGTTACTATCCCCATTTTACAGACAAGAAAATGGAAGCCAAGAGAGGTTAATTAACTTGCCCAAGGTCACAGAGCCAGTAAGTGGCTTCAAATGCTGGGATTCAAATCTAGGCATTTGGAGTCTGCCCTTAACCATTTCACTAGACCAGCGGTTCTCAACTTGTGGGTCACGACCCTTTGGGGGTTGAACGACCCTTTCACAGGGGTTGCCTAAGACCATCGGAAAACACATATATAATTACATATTGTTTTTGTGATTAATCACTATGCTTTAATTATGTTCCATTTATAACAATGAAAATACATCCTGCATATCAGGTATTTACGATTCATAACAGTAGCAAAATTATAGTTATGAAGTAGCAACGAAAATAATTTTATGGTTGGGGAACATAAGGAACATAAGGAACTATATTAAAGGGTCGCGGCATTAGGAAGGTTGAGAACCACTGCTCTAGGCTCTTTCCCTTATTTAATGGATGCATCTATTTCTGGAGATAGATGATTCCAGGGTGGTTTGATGGCTAAATTATGCCACCAAGGGCCTAGAGTCCCTCCATCGATTCCCTCCGTAGGCCTCAGTATGTTGGACTGCTCCTGGTTCATCCCTGAAGCTAGGAAGGGCTTTCTTTCTCTGAGCCTCTTTCTGCCTGATTGAAAATTGAGGTTCTGAATGTCAAAGATAGAAGGGAATAGATGTGGGTTTAGTAACCAGCCAAGCTCCCCCCACCAGCAGGCCCATCTCCCTCAGACAAAGGACAGGGTTCAAGCCACGAGAACAGTATCTCCCTGGACCCCCCTGAATCCTGAGATACTCCCTGGTGGCTGGGTTCCTCGTGACCCGAGACATGGATTCGAGTGCAGGTAGGTCACCGGAAGTGATTCCAGATAACCGTGGTGGAGGATCGCGTGCGAGAGACAGGACAGGGGAATTCTGCACCTTGAGAAGCAGCTGCCACTGTGGGCAACCTGAGTCCGGTCCTCGTGGGAACTCGGAGCCAGTGAGGAGCATGTGCCTGAGAGTCACGCCGGCAGCGAGGGAGTGAAGTATTTATGCTCAGACTCATCAGTTACTAGTTGACGGCTGCTCTGGTTCACCCTCCTGCCCTTCCTGCGCACAGGGGCTCTGGAGGCCAGAGACAGTCCTCAGGGGCCAGACAAGCGCATGTGCTGCAGTTAGAAGTCAGTGTGACGTGGTGAAGGCCAGGAGATATTGGTGGGGGGGTCGGCAGTCTGCTCCCCTATCTGAGTGCACAGCACCATGTCCTGCTGCCCACGCCAGAAACCTGGGGTTCTCTTAGACGGCTCCCCTTTTCTCACACTCCAGATCCAACCATAATTGGGCTCTATTCTTTCACTTCTAATTATCTCTTGACTCCACCCATTTCTCCCCATCCCTTCCCCTGTGGAGGAGCCTATCACTCCTGCCTGGACACTTGTAAGTCCTCCTTTGGTCTGAACTCCACAGCCTGTCACCCAGCACTTATTTCCTCTGGCCTCTGCCAGCCTCTCCCAGCCCCCAGCCTTGGGCCGCCACTCCAGCACCCTGAACCTCTTACACTTCCCAGTCTCACCTCCAGGTCTTTCATTCGTTGCTCCCTCCTCCTCGCACCCCCTTTCCTATCCCTATTCCCACTGCATCCTCTGACTCACCCTCCTTCAGACCTCAGCTAAGAACTGGCACATAAGCTTCATCTCATGTGCCAGCTCTAGTTAATTGATAGTGGCTCCCTGGAGTGCTGTGTTGAGAAGGATTCTGGAGCCCAGTCAGGCTTGGCAGGTGTGCTGAGGTTGATTAGCAATGTCTGCCCTGGGCGTGGGCAGGGGAAGTGGAACAGCATGGTCTGCCCTGACTGTATCAGCAGCTTCCAGTTCATCCTTCCTCCATCACAGCACCTACCACCCTATAGTAATTATCATGTGTGTGTCTGTCTGTCCCACTAGACACTGAGTTCAGTACCTACCCACCAGGGGCCTGGCCCACAGATGATATGCTGCAAATTTTGTTGAACGATGGGTAGGTACCATGAGCCGAAGCATGTACACATTTTACTTTCCCCACTCTTTCCCAGTCTCCTTCATCACACAGAATCGAGGCCTCAGCACCCTCTTGGTAAACCCAATCTCTCCGAGCTGGCTGCCAGCACCCCTCCTGCTCCTTCCCTCTGCTTCTGGTTGTCCTGAGGTGTTTGGGTCATCAGTGTCCAGCTCCCTGGTTGTCTGGGTCACTGTGCCCACAGCTTTAGAAAAGAGAGTGTGAGCTGATGGCAGGGCCACCTGGGCCCCGGGCTCAGAGGCTCATTCCTGCCAAGGCTGTTTGCTAATCACCAAAGA